TCACCTATAAACAGACTCAGGTTTGCAAAGGGGAACTTGTTTGAGTTTTTAGTAAAATATTTTTAATTTGAATTGTTAGGTGCTGAATTTGATAAAGGCTTGCCCAAGACCYGAAGGGTTGAACTTTCAGGATCTCAGGACTCAGCTCCAACACATGCCTGTAGCTTCAATCAAGTGAGTATTGGTCACCATGAGTTAGGACTACCAGAATGATATCATTTCACCTCTCTAGTATTTCCTGGTAATGAGAAGTGAGTTAAAAAAGTAGAGTTGTGATCTACTGACAGAAGGAAAATGGTTCAACCCAGGAAAAACTAAAAAAGAACTCAAAAAGATARCACTACCCATCACATCACTGATTCATTTGCTCATTCCACAAATACTAAGGTGTATTACGTATGAGGGATATAATTCTGAGCAAAAATTGATCTAATGTTTTTTGGGGTTTAGTCTGAAAGAATCTTAGCTCCTGGTCATCAGGTACACATTCAGTGCATTTGGTGTTCCTGTCCCCACGATAGACATRTGAGTGCATTAAGCTATTAGGACATGAAGCCATTAGACAGTCCTTCCTACACCCTTGACCTGATTCCATTTTAGATAAGCAGTCTCCTAATTCCAGCATAATGAGCTAATAGAACAAATGGAGTGTGATGGTGCTTGTAATAGTTGTTATTATAGATCAATTGATACTCCAGGCCGAGGTTAAAAATGCTGATGTGCTGGGTGTGATGGCCAGCAACTCAGGGCAGCTGAGACAGGAGAATTGCAAGTTTGAGATTAGTCACAGCAACTTCTCAAGGCCCCAAGCAACTTAGCAAGACCCTTTCTCAAAATAAAAAGGTCTGGGAATGGAGCTCAATGGTAAAGTGCTCCTGGGTTCACTCCCTGATATCAAAAAGAGAGAGAGAAAGACTGACGTGTATACTAATAAGATTTAATGTGCAAGCTGTACTACAGCTTTAGAATCTTGTTCCACTTTGCTCAGACTGATATTTAAGTGAAACTATTTTTTTTTGCCTTTCCACAGTTTGGGAGAGGGATCCAAGGCAGCCCTAATAGCTGTATGTTTTACAATATTACTGACATTCTCCCTGCAAGAGCCTTGTATGAGCAGAATGGCTGTGAATTTTTCTTAACAAAGATAGAAAGTGCAGAAGTAGGTAATGTTTGCATATTTGGCCATATCCAAAGGCAGTTTCCTTTCTTTCTTTCTTTTTTTTTTT